TGAATAAAAGGGCACATTAATAATTACTGATGTAAGTGGCACTTCAGAAGTGATTGAAGTAAATGACATATCTGAAATGACTTAAGTAAAATATCAACATCAAACAGGCATATATATACTTTAACATGGTATGAAAAATATTTCAAAACTTGTCATAAAGTGAAATTCAAGACCAGTAGATAACATTAATCTGTTTTCAAGGCACATGATTAAATGTTATTTTGGTTAAGGTATTTTGTGAAAGATTTGAATTTGACTGACTGACTGACTTTCTACCCCACTAGGACATCACACAAGCGATAAATACCTGATGACACAAAGTGCCACCATGTGGATGAGGATCGCTGTGGAGAGGTCCCATATTTATGGCCTGCCTATATTGCGGCCCCTGGCAAAAGCCAGAGTAGGGCTTCAAATAATGAAGAATTTCGTCCTGAAAAGGACATGAAGAATATACTTGAATTTTGTATACTCCTTAAGAATTATACACACAACAAGTGACTATATACCAGTACTACTATATTCAGTATTGCCATAATTTATTTGTTAGAACAACACAGATGTCAATCTGAACTGTTTTCCTTGACTAAAAAATGTTAAAGCTTGTCACAGGCTCAGAGCACTTGATTATTTCTGTACTTCCCTATTAAAGATGACTCCATCTTTCTTTACAGCCTAGCATAGATACTGCTTATTATTTCTGGCAGAAACCTGTGTAATATATTTATCTCTTCTGGAAATATCCTTTTGATTCAAAAGTAAGACACAAAATTATGATAATGATTTTTTTCTTGTTGGACAACTGACAAAATAATTGAATGAATAATAAATTGAGAATTGACATCACTGCATGCAGGATTCCCATACATGGTTGGTCCCTCTCTTCAGTAGCCAACAAGGAGTCCCCATTCTGATGGTGCCAGTTGCAGCCAGACCCTCTTCTCACGCCAAGCTGTATCAGTCTCTCCAGATATGGATGCTCTGTCCGTTCGGTGGCACTGTTTACTTAATCCTCAAAAACCTTCACCAAAACCACTTTATCATAATGCAGCTCACTACCTAGAGGGAGTGGCAGCAGTCAGTCTATCAGTCTGCTCATGACCCACCACACGCTAATGACCTGGGCAACAAAACTGCAATATGCTTCTACTTTCAAGCCTATAAAGCAATAGAAGCCACTCCGAGTGCAAGACACCAGCCACTCTGAGTGCAAGACACAAGCCACTCTGAGTGCAAGACACCAGCCACTCTGAGTGCAAGACACCAGCCACTCTGAATGCAAGACACAAGCCACTCTGAGTGCAAGACACCAGCCACTCTGAGTGCAAGACACCAGCCACTCTGAATGCAAGACACAAGCCACTCTGAATGCAAGACACCAGCCACTCTGAGTGCAAGACCAAGCCACTCTGAGTGCAAAACACCAGTTTCTGTTATCTGATGCATTCTCTGTTCTACTCTCAGCCAGCAGAAATCTACCATTACTGCTTCACCTCCATTCTCAGGCTAGATATTGTGATAGTATATAAGGCTCTCTCTCTAAAAAAAAAAAGGCTCAAACAGCACACGCACATACACATGTATGATGCAAAAAAAGAAAAAGCACAAAAAGATGTTAAATATGGGATCCTAAAAAGGGCTTTGTGGGGGAACTCAATGGCAGACTTGTCGGCTTCGGAGTGGTGAGCCTGTTGACGGACTTAGCACATTCAGGGACAGTGTGCCTGTCGACCAGCAAAAACCTCGGAAACAAAATCAGTAACAGATGGCAGATCCAAAACAGAACTTGTCAAGAGCAATTTCACACTGATAGAAAGGAAAGGCCCACAAAGGAAAATTGGAATACCAAGTGCAACTAAACGCTACAAAGAAAAAGTACGACCACGAGTCAGCAAATCAACACAGACTTGATAAAGTCGCCGCTCAACTAAGGAGCGTATGAAAAGATTCGAGGATTTTTAGCATTTTTATTTCCAAATATCCAATCCAATCCTCACTCTCTATGTCTATCTCTTTTTTTTTTTTTTTTTAAGCAAATGAAATCCTACCCAATTTTGTAACCTTTCACTGCAGATTTCAGCTGTGTATATAATGATATCACCCAGCATGAGTTTTTTATTGATCAGATCTGGAAAAATTGATAGAATGTGTTCAACATTTCAAAATATACATTAGGAATAGGAGTTGGAGGATTGTGTGTCTGTGTGCATACATGTGTGCATGCGCACATGTGTGAGTGTGTGTTGGTTTTATGCAGACAACACAGCACTGATTGTTGCCAACACAAAAGAGTTTTAGGAATTGTTGCACACTGAAGTAAAAATAAATATATTGGGCTAAAATAGACTCTTCTTAAAAATCAGAAACAAGGATACCAAATTTGTATGAGAAAAAGATAACACCAATATGTGCACTTATAATAGAAGTAAAAATCATTAACCACATAAATAAACTGACATTTATAGAGACAATTATAACATCAGACTGACAATGTGTGATAGAGATTAAGAGCAGAACTGGATTAGCAAAAATTAACTTCAGAAGATATTAAGTATTTGATTAAATAAATAATTTCAACTGGAATGTATGTGTGTTGACTGACTGACGTTCACTTTGTGCCGCCATTCAGATGAGGATCACCTGGGGACAGGTCTCAGAAACCTTTTCAACCCATATTTCAGGACAATATCTATGTATGTGTGTGCATATGTGTGTGTATTTAAGAGAGGCAGAGAGACGGAGAGAATGGAAATGGATCTTAGAATATGAACCAAACAATTAAAAAGAATTTAGAGACATCAGAGATGCTTTTTTGAGATAAATGTTGCAAATACCTTAATGAGCAAGAATACTTATCAGTGACTGAAAATTGCTTTTAAAAAAATGAAACAGCATGCAACTAAAAGAAACAGGCAAACAATGTTCTTTGGTCATGGGATGAAAACAAGGCAATGGAATACTCTGTGACTACAAGATCAAAGATAGAAGAGACAGAAGCAGCCTGAGAGAAATGATGTTGTATGGTGAAGGATGCTGTATGGTGTAAAATGATGATGTGGAGGAATATTATCAACATAACTGATCCAGAACATCAGGAACCAACATCTGTGGAGAGGCATAAACACCAATGCCATATGACAATGCATATGTAGATGATGATTTTTTTTAATATGGTGAAATACAAAAAAGATATTTGCATTAATTTATATATGTGTGCCTCCATAAAAAGGTCTAATTAAGGCTGACTCATAACTTGATTGTAAAAAGTGCGTAAAAACATTTGCGTATGGTAAATCAAATGCTGATATGACTATAATCTGTTTTCATAAATATAATATTTTTAAAGTTTTGTCAAAAATATAATATTAAAAGCTTAAATGGAATGTCTTCAAGGTGTGCATATAAAAGTAATCAACAGTATCAGTCAAGCATTTAATCTCTTCATAGATTAAGTCCCCTGTAGACTCACTCTCATCACAGCACATCATTGTTCTGCCCAGAAGGTATCAATGTTTAGCGAACCTTCATCCAAACCACTTTACTATTCTTAATTTTATTTTGTTTATATTCTTATTTGATTCTTTTTTTTTAAAAATGAATCATGAGTAGTTTTATCACTACTACTGTTATATATTGGGAGCCATCATGGTATAGTAGCTAGATGCTCGCCTGTGGATCAGAAGGTTGTGGGTACCAGGTGCAGTCCTGGGAAGTAAAGGCGGCCGGCATGATGCTGACCACATCCTCTACCAAGGGCTGATTGATCTATAAAAATATAAGTCTAGCCCTATATTCCCAACACCTAAAGGGCCCTTTACTTTTCATTTACTTTAACTCATTGTATTTCAATTCAGTTTAATTTCTTATACCACATAACGAGTAATTCAGTTCATCAAAACATAAAGATTGTTATGTCTAGTACAAAGTAAACAATGTTTGAGATAGAACAATTTTAAGTACAAGCTGCTTGGCACACGTATCCATAATCACCATAATCATGATATTATGATTGTTGTTATATAGAATTGCCATTAACAGGTTTCATAAAATAATGCAAATGTAAATCTTCCCATTTGCATAGAGCAACACTTGATATTTACATTATGGTTACTGAGGTTTCTTACAGGTATATAAACAATGTCTGTAGACATTACAAGAATAATTAAGACAAATATTTACACAGTATATTTAGATACATTCTTTTTATTCAAGTTTCAAAAATACAAACTCAGTTAAAACAAAAACACAAGCACTTGTTATTTTCAGATTCTGATATGTGCTTTATTTACATCACTTTTTTTGATCCAATTCTTTTAGACGTTAATGATGTGCTAATCAATTGAAATCATCCACTCAATGGTGACCAATTAAAGAAAACCAGGTTTTACATACTTTTTTAAATAAACAAATAGTAATGTAAGTTCACATAGAAAATAAGCTTTTTTATCGGAATGTGCAAAAAAATCTGACATGTTTATGGAATAAAATGTCTTCCGATTTTCACATTGTCAAAACAATATTTATGGTCATCAGTAAATAGGATGACAAAACAATAAAGCAGTTAATTTAGATATCAGAGCCACAGTACTGCAGTAAATATTTATAAGATATATAAATAATCATAAAAAAAAAAAAAACAAAGAATATTAAAATGTTATAAAACTTAACATTATTTATTTGAAAGCTGCTGATTTTTCTTGTGCAGTAAATATGGGTTCAGTATTATTTCTTTAATGCTTTGCTGATCGCTTAACTTTATTTCTCGTTGAGTATTTTAGAGAATATTTTTTATTAACTTATTTAAAGTGTTATTGTTATAAAAAAAATGATGATGTCTTTTGATTTATAATAGTAAAATCATTCAAGAAAAAATAACTCAACACTTTATTTCAATTTTGCAATAAAAAATACAATTTTAAAAATTCTTTTTAATGTATCAACTTTTCATTTCTGCAGAACTAAGAGAATTAAAAATAACTTCTCTTCAAGCAGTGTGGCCTTTAGCTTTCAATCTCTCTCCACTGCCAGGTGTCCTTGTGGGGATCCCCATAAGAAATAGTTGGGTAAGATCTAGCGTAGTACTCTGGTGCTAGAGGTCCGAGATAAGCACGAGGGTAGCCATAGTGTTTGTTGTAGTACGGATCAGCTCCTACAGCGTACACTGGCTCCATAGCAATTGGATAATCTCGAACTTTGTGCTTTTCTAGGATTTCACGATCTTCGTAACGGTCACCTGTGATGTAGCAGCCAGCCAGGGAATAGAAAGTTGCAGCAAGAGATGCCAGGATCATGCCTACCCAAGCCAGGGCATAAGACCATCCATACGAGCGTTCTGTGGCTTCTTTAAGAGACTGCAAAATTGAACGTTAAAACAAGTAAATATGCGTTTGTATTGTAGTTAATCTTTGTATTGTAGTTAATCAGCACTGTGGTTTAGGCTTTGTGAATGTGTTTTTGAGGTGTCAGGTTCAATCCCAGCTGGAAGCTATTTAGCAGCAGACCATCTTGTTTTAGTTTCGGCAGCAGTATCAAGAGCCAGCCATTCATTGGCAGTGGTAAACTACCAAATATAGAATTGCTTAGAAAATTCACAAGCAGCCAATAATTATGTGGTTGGTTCTGCTGTGAAGGACACACAACTAACTACAACTGTTGATAACAACTTAATCTGTGTTGAATGAGCACATAAGTGGTATCTGCTGCAACATCATGATCTCAGAGGCTCATAAACTAAGCCAATACAGATATCATGAGCATACTGCGGGTATATTGGAACTGATTTCCTTAAGGGAACTAACAAACAGCAGGTGTGATAGTCATCCAAAATCAAGTTAAAATGGAAACAATGAAAAGTGAAAATGAGCAGGCCTTAAATACCTTTAGAAGGTGAAGTTGCAAAAAATAGATACAAATAAGTATGAAAAACAAAAATGGTTGGACAATGAAATCTGCAATATTGTATGACAGAAGATACTGTGGACAAAAGAAACTGGAATAGTAGAGCAGACTTTATGATAACAGATGTGAAACTGCTGGACATAAGATACTATGGAGAGCTGAAATAATGGATAACAAAAACTATGGGGAGCTAAAACTGTGGATAGCAGAAACTTTGGAGAGTAGAAACTGGATAGCATAAACGCTTCATAATGCCGGGATGCCTGGTTCGATCACAACCGCGGGCCATGCGCCTTGCATTGGTTTCAACAGTGGTATCAAGAAAGCCGACTGTCTAGAAGCAATGGCAAACTACTGGACGTAAATTTGCCTAGAAAAGCCATGCAACAGCCAGGGGCTGTTGGGATTGGTTCTGCAACGTCCTGTAAAGGATGTGCAACTAACCTTTATTTTCAGCATAGTATACAGTAAAAAAGTAAATCATCCTTTTCCATGCCTTCAGTTGTATTGGGCATATAGGGCTAGACCTTTATTTTATAGACCAGTCACCACTTGGTGGGTGATGTGGTAAGCATCAGGCCTGCCGCCTTAACTTCCCAGGACTTTTACCTGGTACCCATTCAAGGCTGGGTCAACCTGGCAGCCAGAGAAAAAAAAAAAAAGTATGCTTCAGTCTGGACTTAAACCCATGACCTTCTGACCTGTATAGGGTTGAGTCTAGCCATTACACCATGGTATCCCCCTCAGAACAGTATATATACAATGAAACCTCATTAACATAAATAGTATTCTATCCTAACTTCGTCCTTCTTAGGACGAAATTTTTTGTCATTTGAAGCCCTACTCTGGCTTTTGCCGGGGGCCGCAATATAGGCAGGCCATATATGGCCAAATGTCTGAACGCGGTTTCTGGGACCTCTCCACGGCGATCCTCATCCACATGGTGGCACTTTGTGTCATCGGGTGTTTATCGCTTGTGTGATGTCCTGGTGGGGTAGAAAGTCAGTTCAGTCATTAACATAAATGACTTAAGTAAAATCCGAGTTAACATGAATCAAAGACCACAGTAAGAATGAATTTAAAAAATATGAATTTGATTTTCCGTAACTTGGAAATTGTGTTAACAAGGTTTTACTATATGCATCCACGTACGCTTGCACACACACACACACGCATGCACAAACACATGCATGCACACAATCTCTCACACACCCACACACACCACCACCCACACACACCCACCCACACACACACACATACAATATAGCTTCAAATGAAAATTTAAGAAGTGGGATAGAAATTTGTGACCTGATATATTAGATTCAGAAGTTTGTGTTTTTTTCTAAAAAAATATTTTACATTTTAGCTTATCCTTCAACGTCTGCTAAAGAAACTTGGTACTTGCAACTTTGCCCAAGTGGCTGGTGTGCCAACTTAAAAATACTGCCATAAAACTGCCGTTACTGCCTGTATTTAGCACTTTTGTGGTTTAGGCATGGGGGTCTTTGAGCCTGAGGATTTAGGACTACATGGCTAGTGCTGTCGCTATGATTGTGTAAATCAGAATTTGTTTTTTTTTTGGGCCCCCAACAGAAAAAAATCAAAATTTCTACAGAGGAGTTGAACCCAAGTCTCCCTCATTCTCAACCATTCAGACAGCTGCTCCTCAAGAAATAACAGAGGAAGTAAAAAAAAAAAAAAATCCTCACCGCAGACCAGCTAGGGTAGAACTCTTGTTCATTGGCCCTCTCACCGCCGTTAAGCTTATTTCTCTCTATGTATTCTGCTCCATGGAAAAATGCTATTGCTGCAGCCAAGGAGAAAGCTGAAAATATATATATAAAGAGTTGATGGATTACAGAGATACAAGAGACATACAAGACAACAAAATCTAGTAATGCAGCCTTAAACAGAAAAGCATATGTGTGTGAGAACACATGTTTGTACTGAATGTGTGAGAGAGATACAGCGAGAAGGGAAGAGAGATATAGCGAGAGGGGGAGAGACATAGAGAGGGGTAGAAAGATAGAGTGAAGGGGGAGAGAGAAAGAGCGAGAGAGGAAGAGATATAGAGAGAGGGGAAGGAATATAGATCGAGAGGGGGACAGAGCACGATGAGGAGAGATAGAGTGGGAGAGAGATAGAGAGGGGTAGAAAGACAGAGAGAAGGAGGAGAGAGAAAGAGCGAGAGGGAAAGATATATAGAGCGAGAGGGGAAGAGAGATTGATTGAGAGAGGGGACAAAGCAAGAGGGGGTGAGAGATAGAGTGAGAGGGGGAGAAAGATAGAGCGAGAGGGGGAGAGAGATAGAGTGAGAGGGATAGAAAGAGAGCAAATAGGGAGAGAGAGCGAGAGGGGAGAGATAGAGTGAGAAGAGAGAGACAGAGTGAGAGGGTGACAGATAAAGTGAGGGGGAGAGAGACAGAAGAAGATCAGAGAGAGTGTGTGCGAGGAGAAAAGGGACACAGAGTGTGTATGGGCATATGTGTGTGTGTGTGCAGGCATCTATTGTATGTTCATAAGTGTATGTGTTTTCAACCGGTAAATGGTTTTGGTCTACTTTGATTGACCTTTAAGATTTCCAGACATTTTCCATTCTTCTTCTTCTTCTTGAAGCAAAGACAATAGTGACTGGTCCTCACCGTCTTGGATTTGCTGAGGGGAACAATGCCCGTTGTCTGTAACTGCTGAAATATTTTCAAAATGGCAGCTCTTTTGCTGTTTTTCCTCATTTATAAGTCTGAGTAGATATATTCCTGACTCTACGCTGAACACAGTGAGTGCTTATAGGTCAATAAAAGCTAGCTCCTTAAGGTATTGGTTGGCTCTGTGGCTAAGTCTATGTGAACTCTTCGTAATGCTAGGATGCTGTGTTCGATACCAGCTGCAAGCCATGCGCCTTGCGTTGGTTTCGACAGTGGTATCAAGAAAGCAATGGCAAACTACTGGATGTAAAGTTGCCTAGAAAAACCACACAACAGCCAGGGGCTGTTAGGGTTGGTTCTGCAACGTCCTGTAAAGGATTCGCAAATAACCAACCTTAAGGTATTTACAACCTTTAAAAGTTAGTTTTATCATTATATGGTAACGAAAAACCTGTAGATCTTTTTTTTACTCATGTCTGATGGCATCTAACACTAAATAAATGTGAAATAAACTAATAACATTCCCACCAACCAATTCTTTGTCATATGTGAAAGATTTTTAATGTTTTAACTCTGTGGTCAACTTGAATGACAGATAAAATGGATGCACTGCTGCAACAATATGGGAGAGATTATAACTGGCTGATGTTGTATGCTTTCATGCATGCACAGATGTGTGCACTATATGTATATGTGTTTCTCTTCAGGCATATCATCTCAAAAGTGTTTATATTACATGTGTGTGTTTCTCTTCAGGAATCTCATCTCAAAAGTGTTTATTTACATATATATATGTTTCTGATAATAACCAGTAACTGTCAAGCACAAATATCCAATGTTAAAGTAATAACAAATCTGATTTTCGGGCTCAACAGGATGTTTCTGTTCAAATTTTTTTTACAACTGCTGCTGCTGATCCTTTTCCTATTGCTATCGCTCCTCATTTTACTACTCCTATTGCTATTCATCCACCTATTGCTATTGCCATTTCTATTGCTATTCTTTATCCTATTGCTATTGCTACTCCTATTGCTACTCCTCCTCCTATTGCTACTGCTGCTGCTTCTCTTATTGCTGCTGCTACTCCTTCTATTGCTACTGCTACACCTCCTTCTATTGCTACTCCTCCTCCTATTGCTACACCTCATACTATATCTACTACTCCTCATAGTGCTATTGCTACTCCTATTGCTACTGCTACTGTGCCTCCTATTGCTACTACCACTCCTCCTTGTATTGCTACTGCTACTCCTCCTACTACTCCTCCTCCTATTGCTACTGCTGCTCCTCCTATTGCTACTGCTACTCTGCCTCGTATTGCTACTGCTGCTCCTCCTATTGCTACTGCTACTCTTCCTCCTATTGCTACTCCTACTCCTAATCCTACTGCTACTCCTCCTATTGCTACTGCTCCTCCTAATCCTACTGCTACTCCTCCTATTGCTACTGCTCCTCCTAATCCTACCGCTACTTCTCCTATTGCTACTGCTCCTCCTAATCCTACTGCTACTCCTCCTATTGCTACTGCTACTCCTAATCCTACTGCTACTCCTCCTATTGCTACTACTCCTCCTATTGCTACTGCTACTTCTCCTCCTATTGCTACTGCTACTCCGCCTCCTATTGCTACTGCTACTCTTCCTCCTATTGCTATTTAAACATTGAAATCACAATCTGTCTTCTTACCTGATGTGTAGGCACATAACCCAGCTATGTATGCCCACCTGGACACTCTCATACAGCACAGTATGAGACCAAACACGTAGGCCAGCAGGAATACAACAATGGCAATTATGAAGAATGCCAGAAAGCATCTGTTGAGATCTACAGTGAATGTAATAGAATATATAGTTATTTTCAACTAAACTCTTCATAAATAAAAAATGAAATTGTGTGCTACCTCCGCAAGAGAGTTGGCTATGCTGTGCTGCAACCTTTTTTTGTTTTTTTAAAGTTGCTTACATCATCCCTTAGAGATGTGAATACTCTCCTCTTTGTTACCATTGTGTAGTTCATTAACTGTTTAAGAAAGGCCACCAGCCAAAAAGTGTTTTGTGTTGTTTTGTGCACGTTTTTCTGCTTCCCCGTTTCATTAATCTTTTTAGTCACAATTCACTGGAATTTGTCTATGAACTTGCATGTCAGCTGCAAGACCTTCATGGTTCCCCATAGCTTGCTCTGCACACTTTGCTCTTGAGGCCGGGTTTCTTGACATAGTTGTAAGTACAGTTGGCAGACCTGAAGAATGCACTCAGGAATCAAACCCCCAGGCTCGAGGATTATGACATTGTTAAACACATTCCCTAATCTCTACGCTACAGAAACACACACAAATACTAAAAGGTGAATGGATTCTTTTTCTTCTTCTTTTTCTTCTTCTTCTTCTTCTTGATGTTCACTGACTGTTAACTCCGGGCGACAGTTCTGGTTGTTCATCCACTTCATCACTTGTTCCAGGACTTGAGTTTTGCATGCATATCAACTTTACTGATCTGGCATATTTGTATGCAGACTGTTGGTTCCTCACCTCTGCCAGATGCCCTCTGACTTCAAAGGAGACACTTGTTGAACTAATCAATGAATGAATATAGGATATAAACTAATGAACTGGGCAATGAATGAATATAGGATATAAACTAATGAACTGGGCAATGAATGAATATAGGATATAAACTAATAAACTAGACAATTAATGAATATAGGATATAAACTAATGAACTGGGCAATTAATAAATATAGGATGTAAACTAATGACCTGGGCAATGGATGAATATTAGATATGAACTAATAAACTAGATAATTAATGAATATAGGATATAAACTAATGAACTGAGCAATGAATGAATATAGGATATGAACTAATGAACTGAGCAATGAATGAATATAGGATATAAACTAATGAACTGAGCAATGAATGAATATAGGATACGAACTAATGAACTGGGCAATGAATGAATATAGGATATAAACTAATGAACTGAGCAATGAATGAATATAGGATACGAACTAATGAACTGGGCAATGAATGAATATAGGATATAAACTAATGAACTGGGCAATGAATGAATATAGGATATAAACTAATGAACTGGGCAATGAATGAATGTAGGATATAAACTAATGAACTGGGCAATTAATAAATATAGGATATAAACTAATGAACTGGGCAATTAATGAATATAGGATGTAAACTAATGAACTGGGCAATTAATGAATATAGGATATAAACTAATGAACTGGGCTATGAATGAATATAGGATATAAACTAATGAACTGGGCAATGAATGAATGTAGGATATAAACTAATGAACTGGGCAATTAATGAATATAGGATGTAAACTAATGAACTGGGCAATGAATGAATATAGGATACGAACTAATGAACTGGGCAATGAATGAATATAGGATATAAACTAATGAACTGGGCAATTAATGAATATAGGATGTAAACTAATGAACTGGGCAATGAATGAATATAGGATACGAACTAATGAACTGGGCAATGAATGAATATAGGATATAAACTAATGAACTGAGCAATGAATGAATATAGGATACGAACTAATGAACTGGGCAATGAATGAATATAGGATATAAACTAATGAACTGGGCAATGAATGAATGTAGGATATAAACTAATGAACTGGGCAATTAATGAATATAGGATGTAAACTAATGAACTGGGCAATGAATGAATATAGGATATGAACTAATGAACTGGGCAATGAATGAATATAGGATATAAACTAATGAACTGGGCTATGAATGAATATAGGATATAAACTAATGAACTGGGCAATTAATGAATATAGGATGTAAACTAATGAACTGGGCAATGAATGAATATAGGATACGAACTAATGAGCTGGGCAATGAATGAATATAGGATATAAACTAATGAACTGGGCAATTAATGAATATAGGATAAAAACTAATGAACTGGGCAATGAATGAATATAGGATATAAACTAATGAACTGGGCAATGAATGAATAAATTGTAAGATAGGAACTAATAACTGGGATAATGAACGAATAAAGGAACTAATGAATTGGATAAAGAATGAGTATATGATAGTAACTAATGAATGGGATAATGAATGGTTTCCTACAGGTTATTTAAACATTGAAATCACAATCTGTCTTCTTACCGAATGTGTAGGCAAATCTGATATATATATATTATATAAGAAGATATAGGATAGGAACTAATGAATGGGAGAATGAATAAATATATAGGATGGGAACTAATAAATGGAATAATAAATGAATAGCAGAACTATTGAATGGGATCATATGTTAATATAAGATAGGAACTAATGAATGGGATAATGAATGAATATAATAACTAATGAATGGGAAAATACATGAATATAGAATAGAATCTAATGAATGGGATAATAAATGAAGATAGGAAGTATTGAATGTGATAACAAATGCAAACAGGAACTAATAACTGGGATGATTAGTAAATATGTGGTGGTACCGTTCCATGTTTCCAGATGATAGTGTTCCATCATCTCCTAGGTAGGCCTGCGAACTAGAGCTCATTGGGATGGTGAGTGATAGATAGAAGAGCCTTCTACAATAAGTGATTCTAACAATGAGTGATTATAGTAAGGAGTGATAACAGCAAGAAGGTATTACAGCAGGAAGTGACTATAGCAAGGAGTGATTAAAGCAAGGAGTGATTATAGCAATGAGTGATTATCGCAATGAGTGATTATAGCAAAGAGTGATTATAGCAATGAGTGATTACATCAGTGAGTGATTATAGCTTAATGATTGATAGAATCACCAGCATCCTAATTTCCACTTCTGCCGCTAAGCACCGTGGAGAGGAACAGTTTGCAATCCACTGATTGATGGACAGCAATGTCTGCTGTCATTCCATGTCGATGTAAAAGCTCTTTAATGTCACGAGTTCATCTTCTCCTAGGGCATTCTGATGTTCACATCGGAATTGTTCATGTGTAGCGCCTCAGTGGTAGTTGTTCTGATTAAATTTTTACTTGATAACCAAACCATTTAATCTTCTGCTTTTAGTGCTGGAACAAAGGGTGAATATAAGGAATAATGTATAAAATACAGGTCTAGCCCTATATGCCCAGTGTGCCTGAAATCATGGAAAAGGGTTCTTTTCTTTACCTTATAGGTAATAATGCTTAGAATTATGAGTGAATATAGAGAACTAAACCCTATAATATAAGTGAATGGGGGGGGGGGGGGGAAATAAAGAATGGAATAATTAGAGAATATATGGAAACAATGAATACATTCAGACACCGAACAAAGAGAATAACAAGTAAATATATATTGATTGTCTAATGTAAAAGAGCAAAGACAACAACAATGTTCAGCATGCTTTCAGTGGCTTGGGCAAACAGTAAACTAAACTCAGACACAATCAGTTTGTCATCTTACGTAGTCTGGACATGAAACTTTCTGATCGTTTGACATTATCAGATGGCTGGTCATAGTTGATGTTGAAGCAGTATCCATCCACAACTCCAATCGCATTTTGCAGAACTGATGATTTCAAATATAGACATCAATGAACTGGATGATTTAGAATATGGACATCAATGAACTGGATGATTTCAAAAATAAACATCAATGAACTGGATGATTTCAAATATAGACATCAATGAACTGGATGATTTCAAATATATACATCAATGAACTGATGATTTCAAATATAGACATCAAAGAACTGGATGATTTCAAATTTAGACATATATGAACTGAATGATTTAAAATATAGACATAAATACAATATTAACTCATTTAGTGCTAAGCAACTCATCATGAGTTTACTTATCACCTCTTTATTTCACAAGTTTTCATTAACTCCTTATTACTCGTGAATAAACAACTTAGTGCAAGGAGTGGAATTGGAAAAGTGGAATGTTTAACTGGCGGAATGTTTAACTAGCGGAATGTTAGACTGGCGGAATGTTTAACTGGCGGAAAGTTTGACTGGCGGAATGTTTGACTGGCGGAATGTTCGACTGGCGGAATGTTTGACTGGCGGAATGTTTGACTGGCGGAATGTTTGACTGGTGGAATGTTTGACTGGTGGAATGTTTGACTAGTGGAATGTTTGACTGGCGGAATGTTTGAAGGGCCTTCATGCCCAATTCTTAACCCTTTGAAAATAAAATGTGTTCGTTCATTCATTCATTTAGCTTTTACCTTAACCTGTTCCATACCAAATTATATTTACTGTGTCCAGTTCACTCCTTGTTCTTCTTCTTCTTTGTCTTCACCAGCTGTACACTCTGGCGTAAAGTTCTGGTTGTTCGTCCACTACTGAACTGCAGTCATGCTCCAGAACCTGAGTGTTGCATGTGCATCAGTTTTACATATCTGATTCAATTGAATGCAGACTGCTGGTTCCTTGCCTCTCAGGCAGATGCACTCCGACTTCAAAGGAAGCTCCCCAGTTAGTCGACTCTTACGACATGCTTTTGGGGAGGCAGTGGGTCTATTCTTGTTTTCCCCACAATAGGGCCCCGGAACCCACACGGGGGAACTCCTTGTTCTGTTGTGCCATTATATGTCACATAAGGTTCCCAGTGAGTTTCTCCATTCCGGTCAATTCTGTGCAGTCACTTCGATATCATTGATAGAATTCTGTCTAGCACATTGGCTTCTTTCATCAACGTTTGGCACATTTGGCTTCTTTCACCAGCGTTTGGCACATTTGGCTTCTTTCATAAGCATTTGGCACATTTGACTTCTTTCATAAATATTCTACACACTTGGCTTCTTTCATCAATATTTTACACACTTGGCTTCTTTCATCAATTCTCTAGACACTTGGCTTCTGTCATCAATATTCTACACACTTGGCTTCTTTCATCACCGTTTGGCACACTTGGTATCTTCTATCAATATTCTACACACTTGGCTTCTTTTATCAGCGTTTGGCACATTTGGCATCTTTCATAAGCGTTTGGTACATTTGGCTTCTTTCATCAATATTCTACACACTTGGCTTCTTTCATCAATTTTCTACACACTTGGCTTCTTTCATCAATATTCTATACACTTGGTTTCTTTCATAAATTTTCTACAGTTACGGTGTTTTTGTAATACAGTTGGTAAAACGCCCCAGTACTATTGATTCTATGACCAAACCACCGAATGTATGTACACACATTAACCATTGGCCTGTCTGGCAATATGGACGTTTACAGACATACAGGGGTTAAACATCTGTAATTATGCTTTTGTTAGTTCTTTGTTTCTTTCTTCATTTCATTTTCCAGTGTGTTGTCGCTTCCTGCCCCCTTGTGTGTGTGGTGTGTGTGTGTGGTGTGTGTGTATGTGTGTGTGTGTGTGCGTGCGTGCGTGCGTGTGTGTGTGTGTGTGTGTGTGTGTGTGTGTGTGATCACTTTAACCTTCTTCTCGCCCTCAGCTTATTTTAAATAAATAACTGAACCTTTTCAAAAAAAAAAAAAAAAAGCACACATCAGCACACCACCTTTCATTCACCACAATTAATACCCAGAAAAAAAAAGATAGGGCTTTGTCCGTGATGTCAAACCAGAATGGGGTATATAGAAGGCGTTGACCTGTTTCTGACGTCACAAGTTTTCCATAGTTGAGATCATCACCTTCTGTAACAGTATCATATAACCACAGCACGACTATCGTCAACTGTCTCGGTGTTTGTGTGTAGGCCTGAACGAGTGAACATGTATACACCAAGTGCACTGGTGCGATAGTCATTTGTTAGAATCACACACACACACACACACACACACACATATACGTGTGTATATATATTTACCAAAGCTACCAAGATACAGATGGTAAGGGAGGTGGGACTGAAAGAGTTAACAGTTGACCTGGTGTTATATATGTGTGCCGCAGAAGCAGAGTCGCTTGCACACTTGCCATCCTGGCACTTGGTCGTAGGTATAAATCGATATCGGAAAGACGGGGTGGAGTGGGGGATATTGTCCTAAGTAGATACGGTGTACAAATGGGTGCCAAACAATGTTTTCGACAGGTAAGCTATATCACGGCAATATGTAGACAGCGATACAAGTGGGAGGATAACATCGAGAGATGGAGGCAGCCGTCTCAGATCTGAAAATGTGTTCAATCAGGACGACAGACAACTTTCATTATGGAGATGTGCCGAGTACACCGAGAGACAACATATCAGATGTGACGAGTACACCGAGAGACAACATATCAGATGTGACGAGTACACCGAGAGACAACATATCAGATGTGACGAGTACACCGAGAGACAACATATCAGATGTGCCGAGTACACCGAGAGACAACATATCAGATGTGCCGAGTACACCGAGAGACAACATATCAGATGTGCCGAGTACACCGAGAGACAACATATCAGATGTGCCGAGTACACCGAGAGACAACATATCAGATGTGCCGAGTACACCGAGAGACAACATATCAGATGTGACGAGTACACCGAGAGACAACATATCAGATGTGCCGAGTACACCGAGAGACAACATATCAGATGTGCCGAGTACACCGAGAGACAACATATCAGATGTGCCGAGTACACCGAGAGACAACATATCAGATGTGACACGACTGCCACCATATTGTGCACCACAGAGAGCCATGTCACTTAGGCGTTACTGAACCGGAGCTAGAGGTCGACCACGCAAGCTATGGATAGATGGGTTATCGAACCGTAAATACCACTATCTACGCAGCACATGCAATATGACGCTGAAAGACAGAGAAGAATTAGAGAAGAAGAAGAACATGTTCGGTATAACAAATATCGTTACAGCGTTTATGCTCTCTAAAATGCTGTGGTAAATTTTACTAAAACTACCGCCTATTTGAATCCTAATTCTACGACTACTGACACATATACTGTGATTGTAACTCACAGAGAATGTTGAGACAGGCGAAGACAGACATGCTTCATGCAGAGTGGCAAGCATCACTTAAGAGG